ATGACGGTTGAAGAAGCCCTGGGTGAGCTGGACCGCATCATGAGCGCACCACCCCTGTTCGCTTGGTACTGGCAGGTGCTTGACTGGGGACTAGCGTCGTGGTCCGTGTGCCTACTGGCTTTTAGTGGATCGTGGTGGGACTCGCTAGCAGCGCTAATCCTTGGCATCGTCATCGGGTGCCTGAATCTGGTTGCCGGTCGACTAAAGGGCTACACAAACCTGTTCGAGGTCTCGGTCAGCATTCTGTCTGGTTTTGTCGCTACAATCTTCCCTAGCCACCTATGCTTTGCCTCCGTCACACTATCCGCCACCGTGGTCCTGCTGCCCGGCCTGGTTCTTACTACGGGCGTCATCGAGCTGACAGCGCGCAACATGCACGCTGGCACGATCCGCGTATTCTACGCGCTAGTCTTGGCATTCATCATCGCATTTGGCATCGAGCTGGGCAACAACATATTTGTGGAGATTTTCTCGCGGCCAGGACGCGTTCCAGACATGAATACAGGCACCTGCAGCCCTGTCTCTCAGTGGTACTGGTGGCTAACCTTCCCTGTTTCAATCTGCAGCATCTGCCTCCTGATCAACGTGCATCCGCGCGACTGGCACGCGTGCGTCATTGTTGGCGGCGCCATGTTCGCCGTGTTCTGGTACTTAGTGATGCACCTGCAGCTGACGATTATCGGGCCGGTTGTTGCCGCGTTTGTGCTCGGCCTGGTGGCCAACCTGTGGAGTAAGCTGTTCAAGCACAATGCCTACGCAGTCATGCTACCTGGCATGATGATCCTCGTACCCGGGAGCGTTGGTGTGCGTGGCATCCTGTCCATGTTCACTGCTTCGGGATCGAGCACGCAGCTGGCGGTACAGATGATCCGCACGTCGCTGAGCATCATGACTGGGTTGTTTGCCAGCACATTTGTAGTCTACCCGCGTGGCAAGAAGCACTCGGCGCTGCTGACAGTCTGAGGACGAGTGATGATATCCATATTGCCATAGTATGTAATCATCTAAACGCGCATATATTTTCGAGATCATCAAAAGCTTTTGTCTCTGTAACCCACAGCATTTTTTGTCTATATATACCATTGCTTCTGAGAATGCCCAATTACCAAGTCGTGCGCTGTGCCGAGGACAAATGTGCTCGGTTCCAGACACAGCAGGAGAAGAAAGCCAAGAAATGGTCTTGCGTTGTGTGTGGCCTAAAGCAAAGCCTAAAACGTGTATACTTTGAGTCAACTGCGTCCAAGGACTGCCGTCCGATCGTCATGGAGATGAACATGAAGAGTGGACAAGCAAACCAAGTCAAGCAGCTAATGATGACATGTCTTCCATCGCTATCATCCAGTTCGCAAATGGTTCAGAGCCAGGAGCAGAATGCCAACGGCGATATCCCTCGATCCAAATGGAATCGGTATTTGGATGACGCGAACGAGCCTGATGATGTAGCGACCGATGATCAACAACTGGACAAATCCGGCCGTATCACGCTGGGACCAGCCCCTAGCAAGGAAGCGAAGAGTCGCAGGCCAACTGCGGCGAAAAAAACTGTTGATGTTTCCGGAGCCAGAACATCACTAACGGTGCGCAGTAAGCCATATGAGCGACCGGCGACACCTATCACAGCAAACACTTCACTTTCCGCGGCCCTGGCGAACCTCCGGCAAAACAAACAGCCTGTAGTGAGTACTCGTTCGACTGCTCAGACCTCGGTCCCTGCCCAGAGACCTGCTCCAGCCCAGCCCGCACCCAAGATCTCCCATGAGTCCTCACACTGGGACCAGTACATCTCAGAATCAGAATCCGATTCAAACTCCGAATAAAAAGCGTCTAATTCTTCTTTCCCTTCTTCGACTGTGCCTTGCTTACCCCATCCTTTGTGGTTAGGAACCCGCCGTCCTCCAATGCTTGCCGCGCAGCATTGTTTATAAGCTTGAACCGGTCAGGCCCCAGGTGCGTGCCACCAAACCATCGGGTAACGACAACCATGACATCCTCAGCTTCAAGCAGCTGCAGCAGATGCCCAAGTCTTTTCCCAGCAGCCGTCTCGCCGTCATCGTCGTTGTCTTGGCAGATCGAGCCGTTCTCCAGACGGATTCTGTATGCTAGAATATTGTGTGTTGCCTGCGCAATTCGCTTGTCTTCGAGCAGACGGTCGCGCACCATTACCACATCCTCGCTGCTGGTGACGCTAGCGACGTGCGCGACAAATACACTCTTCTTCATCTCCAGCGGCAGTCCCGTGTAGATATCTGGTCCTGCGTACTGGGATTTTGTGCTCATCTGTGCCATTTCGCCTGCCGTGCTGCCACCAAGATCAGGCTGAGGCGAATTCTTGGTTGCTTGATTGTCGGAAGGCAGGGGGATTGGATCTAGCGGATGTGGCCAGTGCGCCTCCAGGTATTCCGGCAGCCAGGATGCCCATGAAAACACCACAACATCCTTGCCCAGGTCTTCGTCCCAGATGCGCCGTAGCTCTGCCGCGACATCTTCACGCATGCCAGCGGTCAGCGACAGCTGCCGCTCTGGATACACATATCCAGGCTTTTTGTCTTTGGACTGGCTCCGTAGATCGTGTGATGCAAGCCATTCAAACACCGGCGGGTCCTCTGACGGATATGTTGCTGGTAAATGGAAGCGTATATCGGCCTGTGCCTCCAAAATGTCGAGAGGCACATAAAGTTCAAACGAGCTGTCGCCTGTGATTTCGCTTGTTTTGACTGCTTCATCGCCAAAAATTGCCACTAGAGCTAGGATCTCGTCCTGCTGTCGTTGCCGATTATCCTCAGTGTCTGCCATTGCGTCCTGTGGTTCGTAGTTGAATAGGTGTAAATAACAGAGAGGTGTAATCGGCTGTGAAACCCGCAGCTCTTGGGCATACCAAAAACCCCCCCTCAAATGATTGTAAGATGCAGTTACACATTGTTTTGGGCAATCGTCAGCCCACATTTCAGCAGGATACCTGTGGTCCTGAATTGTATCCTCATAGCCGAATCCCTACAAGCTATCGGAAGTAGTGCATAATGATGAAACCTACATCTCCCTCGCCGGTCAGCCATACCCGCTTTCTCCACCTCAGCACTTCTCTATCCACAAGCCAGCGCTCAGATGCTAACGAAAAGACAATATCCATTCCCTTAAATACGTACAATGACGGAGGTGGCGGTCCACAGCCACTGTCTCATGTGTACTTTAGTTTTCCGCAACTGAATGTCAGTTGAAAACGCTCACTTTACATTCCACACTAGTCTATCCAAGTCTTCTATTTATCCTGCTGCTATATTGATGCTGGACTTGAGTACCCCTCCAAGTGACTCTATCACAGAGCCACTGCCCATTGCGTCGCCCGAATATACTGATGAAATCAAGGAGAAAGCAGCCATTGACGAGAACGATCCCAGGCTCAGGTGGGCCTTTAGAAAGGTAGACGCAACGCTTCTATTTGTGCTATTCCTCAGCAACATGCTCAATTCGATGGACCGCGGAAACCTTGGGCTTTCCAAAGTCGTTGGTCTTGAGAAGGACACTGGGCTGTCTGGATCCGACTTCAACGTTGTCGCCAGCATTATGTACCCGACATACCTTCTACTAATGCTTCCAAGCAACCTGGCCCTGCGCAGGGTTGGAGCACGGCACTGGCTTTCTCTTCTCACTGTTCTGTGGGGCGTCATTAACATGTGCATGGCTTTCGCCAGAAACAAGACCGACCTGATTCTGTGTCGTCTGTTCCTTGGTGCCGCTGAGAGCGGTGCGACGCCGGGTGCCTTAATGCTGATCACGCTCTGGTACCCTCGCCAGATGGTTACATCGCGCATTAGTCTTTTCTACTCGGCATTCGCTACTGGGGCTGTCATCGGCGGGCCAATTGCAACCGGCATTGGCAAAATAACCAACACGCGCTTCAAGCGGTGGGAGTGGATTTTTTTCATCGAGGGACTGGTCACGGTTGGATACGGATTTATTATGTACCTCTTCTTGGCGGACTATCCTGACAAGAGCTGGATCCTAAAGCCAGAGGAGAAGGCGATAATCAGCCAGCGTATGGCACAGGACCAGGTCGAGGGCGGTAAGAAGGATATCAGCCGCAAACGTCTGCTCGACCATGCCCGCGATCCGCTCATTTACTCCCAGGCGCTCATTATGTTTTGCTCCAACTTTGGAATCAACACCATCTTGACATTTTCCTCGATTATTGTCAAGGAGATGGGCTTCACCGCCGGTGCGTCACAGGCTATTCAGGCAGCACCAGGAATCTGCGGTTTCGTCGGAATCCATCTTGCCCGTTTCTACCCAAAGTGGTTTGGTTCCCACTTTCGTAGTTCGCTTTTCTGCGCATTCTGGCTCATCGTTGCATCAGCTATTCTACTAAGCGTCACCAACAACCCAGCGCGGATTGTTGCTCTCTGCATGTTGTCGTTTGGCGGGTTTGGCGGCCACAGCATCGGTCCTGGGTGGATCATGAGCAACGTCGGTGGCCCAACGCGCGCTGCCATTTCAAGTGCGGTGGATATCATGTTTGGTGGTTTGGGCGGCCTTTGCACATCGTACATCTACCGCAACAAGGATGCACCGCGCTACCTGTTTGGGCACGGTATGAATATGTTTGCTGGCTGTCTCACGGTTGTCGTCTCCCTTGTTTCTCACTATATAATTTCTGTTCGTAACAGGCAGAAAGAAACAAACCCGCTCGATATATCTGGAATGCCGCAAGACGAGATCGACTATCTAGAGAATGACCACCCCGACTTCCGCTATGTGCATTAGGTGTTGCTCACATGTCATGCCGCTAGGGTGGTTCCGACTCACCCAAGGCGGATTGCTCACTGAGAGTGGCGCAGCTTTATCCAGGGCCGTACGCGGCTTAGATGAGGGCTCAGTATGCGCACTCGGCGCTTGCTTAAATACCCCTTGCTGGCTCCTAGCAGCAGGGATTCCTTCTGGTTTTTCCAATATATTTTTGTGAACGCTTACTTTTGGTTTTATCAGAACGATTATAATCATCACTAGGAGAACACGCTACCTAGTTTCCTCTTCCCTGACATTTGACCTAGGTCGTTTTAGGCATGCACCATATTATTGAAGTATATTTTGTGCGCTATGATGAGTGCTGACAGAAGAAAGGCACCTGGCCACCACACATATGCTATCCCTCCCAATACATTTGATCTTTGCCATTGCAGATTTACATACTTGCAGATATGTGTTATAGACGGCAGATGCAGTTGCGCACCAGCCAGGACAAATATCAAACAAAGTCTCACTTCTTGTTGCGGTGCGGCGCCAGAGCGTGCTTGATCTGCAGCCCAGTGATGGGCTTGGACGATGGCCTTGTCATACAGGATATCAGTGGCCTCGTCGTCATACGCGGCCATGGCAATGATCGGCGTATCGCGGTTCGCATTAAATGTGGACTTGATCATACGGGTAGCCTCATCGCCATCAACGATTGGCATGCCAACATCCATAAAGATGGCGCGGAACACAGTGCGCCCCATGGCACAGCGGATAGCTTCAGCACCATTGCGCACGACCACGCACTGCATATGTTGGCGGGCAAGCAGAATTTCCATGATCTTGCAGCACACTGGGTTGTCATCGGCTACAAGACAGATGCGGCTCTTCATGAACGGCACGCGTGGCTGATCCATAGCACTGGCTGACGAGTCTGTACGCTGACGGGTGCCTGCATCGGCACGCTTTGCTTGATTGTACTGATGGCCAGCGGGGCGGCAGTCGCACTGCTCATACTTAGGGTCTGGCCTGAGACAGGCGGGTCTGGACTGTCAGCGTCGATGACGACGAGCCAGCCACTGATAGCGGCATGTTGCTTGTCTGCAGATGATCGGAGGCAGCTGCTTTGCCACTGACACCACGACTTGACGTGGCCAGCTCATTGCGCGGATTCAGCAGACTGCCTCGCCGGCTGAGCGATGTAGAGGACGCACGTACATTCATTGGAATGGTGAATGCCGATGTAGTGGTAAGTGAGGGCATGGTGGGCGTGGTGGGCGTGATGTCAGTGCTGGTACTAAATGCACTGTGGGTGCCTACTCCACTGTGGCTGCCAGAACTCCCGGAGTGGTTGCTGCCGTTCGACGAACCTGATATGACCCGGCGCCATGGCGGAAGCTCATGGTGCACGCGGTGATCAGTCGGCTGTGGCAAGCAGTGGCCGATATTGCCTACAGTAACCGCACGCGCCAGGGGAACACCGCTGGGTGGACTGGTAGCCCGTATTCCGCTCTCTGGGCTTTGGCTAGTGTCAATAAACAAACCCGATGACGCTGCCTTCG